GGAAAAAGACGGTTTATGAGATGAGGCAAGTTTGTTTGTTTGTTTGTTTGTTTGAGACAGGGTCTCACTGTGTAGTCCAGGCTGGCCTGGAAGCTGTTACAGAGCCCAGGCTGGCTGTGAACTCACGGCCACCCTCCTGTCTCAGCTTTCCGAGGGCTGGGATCACAGGAGGGCTGCACCACACCCGGCTGAGGCAGTGTTTCATATCCAGAAACACAGTTCTGTTTCACCTTCCATGCATCAGCCTGACCGTCCCTCCTGAGCGTCAGCTTCCCTGCCCGTCTTACGCTGTGGAACCCTCAGGAGCCAGAAGCCCGCGTGCGACGTGAGGCCTTCCAGCACTGTTTTCGTTGGTGCTTCCGCTGTCCCAGCAGCCTTCTCATTGTTCTTTGATCTGTTCCGCTTCATCCTCATTCATTCTCTTTCTCTTTAATTTTTTCCTTCTTTCTCTCTCCTTCCCTCTCTCTCCCCGTGTCTCTGTCTTCCTGTCTGCCCCTACCCCCAACCCTTACTGGGAGTTGAACCCCAGGCCATCACACTGAGCTATATTCCTAGACCTCAGTCCTTTTTCTTTTATCTTGACTTTACTTTTTTTGTTTGTTTTTGGTACCTGGGTTCAAACTCAAAACCTCACGCTTGCCAGGCAGGCGCTGCGCCACTGATCTATATCTCCAACCGTAAGTGCTGGGATTATAGGCATGTGCCACCACGCACAGCTTTCTATTATTTTGAGACAGGGTCTCAGTGACTTGCCAAGGCTGGGCTCGAACTTAGGATCCTCCTGCCTCTCCTCCTTTTAAATTGTGGGTTTCAGGGGCTGGGGATTTAGCTCAGCGGCAAAGCGCCTACCTGGCAAGCGCAAGGTCGTGAGTTCGGTTCCCGGTACCAGAGAAAAACCAAAACCAAAAAAATAAATAAATAAATAAATTGTGGGTTTCAGATGTTGTGTCCCAGTGAGTAGTAGCAATAAATGCTGAGAGAGGGGGAAGAAATACGTTTAGAAATACTAGGATGTTGCTGGGTGTGGTGGTGCACACTGTAATCCCAGCACTCAGGAGGGTGAGGCAGGAGGATTGTTGTGAGTTTGAGACCAGCCTTGGCTACAAAGTGAGTTCAAGGCCAGCCTGAACATAGGGAGACCCTGTCTCAAAAAGACAAAAAGAAAAAGAAAAAAAAAAGAAATATTAGGATACATTCAAGACTAAGTACATTGAGATATATGTAGTACTTAACACATTTCAGGCTATAATTCATACCTCTCACAGCTGGCTGGCTTGAACCACCAGTAATGCATGCGTGACTGGCTCATTGAGTGGCTTTTTATAAAGTTTATCAGTAAAAAGACTGATAAAAGTGGGTAGATCCATATGTGTCACCAGTGGTAGAGGCTGCCCAAGGGGATGGTCATGCGTGTACCACCGGAGTAACACTAACGGCCTGGCATGTGCCTGGCCGCTGTTGTAATGACTGTAATTTGTAATGAATCTTGATAGCGATAGCATGCGCTCTTGAAGTTTGTTGTTCAAGAATGGTTTATGCGTAGTCCTTTTTGTTGCTGTGAGAATTTTAGAATCAGTCTGTCGGTTCCCGTAAGAAGAAACCTCGTGGGTTTTATAGTGGAGACTGTGTTGAAATGATGGGTTAATTTGGAAGTCGTGGACACCTTTACGGCATTCAGAGTTGCAGTCTCAGGAGATAATACGTACTCCTCGATGTACTCAGCGCGTCTCTAGTTTCTCAGTCCCGCTGTAGTTCTCGTGTGTAGTTGGTGTGCGGTGTGGGTCCCTTCGGGTTTCAGTCTTCCTGCTTGTGTGGTAGTCAGATCGTTCGGATGAACCATGTGTATTTTCCTGAAGGCGCGGAAGGCTACTTCAGGTTCTCGCCTACTGAGAATCAGGCCGCGGAAAGTGCCGGTCTAAATGCCTGAGACCTGCTCACGGCTGCTTCATCGCTCCGGCACTTAGCTGAACTGAACAGATGCCCTCCAGACCTGCGCGTCTCATTCCCTCTTCTCTCGCGCCGCCCTCCGCTCTCTCTCCGAAAGGCTTCCTCCTCCGGGCCCAGGCTGAGCCGTCCCTCCCGCAGACCTGGAGGCCTAGGAGCCCTTCCTCCCTGCAAAGCCAGTGCCCAGCCCGAATCCCTAACTGCGTACTGCTGTCATTTCTAGAGAGACTAGACTTCCCGGTTTTACAAAATACCTACTAGAAGAGATGGAAGAGGAGGGAAACGTTTGTAAATTACCCTCCCTGAGGAGGGTGTTTCAGTTTGTTTTTTACCTTTTTATTGTTAAATCTATTTGGTTTTTTAAATTTAAAACTTTTTTTGCTCTGTTTTATTGTTTTATATTTTAAGAACCCAGAACTGTTGGGCTCAAGCAATCCTCTTGCCTCCACCTCCCAGAGGACTGGAACTCCAGGCACGCGCCACCGCGTGGCCGTGCTCTAGGGAGACTTCTGTCCGCACGCCGTCGCCGCACCATCAGAAACAGCAGTGCAGGCAGTGGGGACGGTGACGGTAATAGTGACGGCGGTGATGGCAGTAGCGTGGGGCTCCGTGTTTGTTGTGCGTGCGGGGTGTTGGACCAGAGTCTACGCCTGCTAAGTGTGGACTCTGCCACTGAGCCGTACTGCCAGCCACCAAACCTTGTGTTTTAGTGACTGCACTGCCTTGCCTCTGCGCATATTCCACGTGTGTGGAAGAGTCCGATGCCTACTGGGATACTTTTTTCTTTTTTTTTTTCCCCAGTACCGGCAGCTGGACTCACGGCCTTGCGCTGGCCAGGCAGGCGCTGTGCCGCTGAGCTAAATCCCCAGCCCCCTACCCGGGATGTCTTTTTACCGAGGCTGAGCAAGGGTTGTGGTAGAATATAGGCAGCAGAGCGTTGGCGTTATGCCCTGATAATTTGTTTCCTTCTTTTTGTATTTCTGGTTTCTTTTTTTGTGGGTCTGATAGAAGGTCTCCCGAGGTACTTTAGGTCCTTTGTATACAGTGTATCATCTTGGTTGAAGAAGAAAATTACAGGTGAATAGCAGTTAATTTGCTGTGTATGTTCTGTTCAAATTCTGTAGCCTTTATAAGTATTCTCCAGCCTTGTAAGCTTTGTCTTCATCTTCGCAGCATCCAGGCCATTGACTCTTCCTGCCTCTGCCGTCCCTAGCGTGTGGGTTCCCGTGGCATCCTGTGTGTATACCGTACCTTAGACCTTACTGTCTCATGGAAACCAGGAATTCACGCGCTAGTCTCCTTAGCGGAAGAGTACATTGTATAAGAACAAAATGAGTCGTCTTTCTCGTTACACCCCCAGTGCCTGACACAGTGCTTGGTAAGCAGTAGGCACACTGTGGACCGTTACACGTGGACAAGAAGACTGCACTACTGACCTTTGTTACTTTTACTAAGGACAGTAGTAAGTTCCTGGCATCTCTCCACTCTGCTGATAGTATCGGAGTGACTGTTGTTTTGTTTTGTTTGGGTTTGTTTGGGTTTGGTTTGGCTTATTTGAGATGTAATATCACCATATTGCCCAAGCTGGCCTTAAACTCGTGGGCTCATGTGGCCCTCCTGCCTCAGCCTCCCAAGGAGCTGAGATAACAGTGTCTGGAAAGATAATACAAGGGTTTTGGTGTTTGCTTGTTTGTGGTGCTAAGGGTCGAACCAAAAGCCTCACTCGTACTAGACAAGTGCCCTCCCACCGAGCTACATCCCCAGCCTTGTTTTTGTGAAGTGCTAGGATCCCACCCAGGGCCTCACATGTGCTAGGCAATTGCTGTACCGCTGAGCTACAGCCCCAGCCGCAGCCCCAGAGAAATTTTTTAAAGCTGGGCTCTGATTATGATTTTGTATCTCGAAGACTTCAGTGAACCATTACCTACTGAATACAGTCTCTATTCTTTTTTTTTTTTTAATTTTTTTTTGTATCAGGAATCGAACTCGGGACCTTGCACTCGCCAGGCAGGTGCATGTGCCGCTGAGCTGCATCCCAGCTCTGATCCCTATTTCTGAGCTTTGTCATCCACAGTCCTCTGTAGTCCTTTGTGATCATGTACACTGTACGCTGATAAACCAGGCTCCTCGCTCTCCCGGCTTTCTCATAAATCCGTGCCGTGTCAGCCTGTGTCTCGGACACGGCATCTGTCGAGGTCTTGCGCTTCACACAGACAGTGTAAATGTCGACTCCCCCGGGAAGCTTTCCGTCCTCTCCTTCTCTCAGAGGTCATCTTCCACCCAAGCGCTCGCTTAGCCCTTGGTGGCCAGGCATTTTCTTCATCCTCCAGTAAGTGATAAATCCCCTGAGCGAAGATCTCTCTTAGTTTCCTCTGCTGTTACCAACTTTTTTTTTTTTTTTTTTGTCACTGGGAATTAAACTCAGGACCTTGCACTTGCCAGGCAGGTGCTGTGCCTCTGAGCTGTCTCCCCTCCCACCAGCTAATTCTTGCGTTGGCTAAAAATAAATCACATTGACTATAAATTAACTTTTGGTATTTTAGTTTCAAGGAAACTGGTCAAAACAGCTGTCAAAATTCTTCTGCGTTGATCAGCAAACAAATGCATTCATTTCAGAAACTATGTAGGCCTCAGCAATGTATTTATTCCTCGAATTGAATTTAGGAGGATTTTTTTTCCAGGATGACACTTATTTTTTTTACACTTTTTTTTCTAGTACATATTACTTGTCTAGATTAAGGGGTTCAGCCCGCCCCAGGGTGGTGGTGCACACCTCCAATCCCAGCACTGGGGAAGCTGAGGCAGGAGGAGTGTTGTGAGTTTGAGACCAGTCTGGGCTACAAAGTGAGCTCAAGGCCAGCCTGAACTGCATAGCAAGACCATGTCTCAAAAAGACAAAAAAAAAAAAAATAGATTAAGGGTTCCATTCTAGCAGATTTGTACCTGCGCGTGATACTGTCATCATTTTACCCCCGAGCCTCCTGTGCCCGCGTACTCCTGGGGATGGTGACACTGTCGTTGCACTGCTGACCAGTCGTGTGACTCTCCTCTTCTAGGGCGCTGTCTTCAGTCTTGAGTCCGAGGAGGAGGAGTACCCTGGCCTCACTGCAGAGGACAGCAACGACATTTACATTCTGCCCAGCGACAACTCTGGACAAGTCAGCCCCCCCGAGTCTCCAACCGTGACGACCTCCTGGCAGTCAGAGAGCCTGCCCGTGTCCCTGTCCGCGAGCCAGAGCTGGCACACGGAAAGCCTGCCCGTGTCTCTCGGCCCTGAGTCCTGGCAGCAGATTGCCATGGATCCTGAAGAAGTCAAAAGCTTGGATAGCAATGGAGCTGGGGAGAAGAGTGAGAACAACTCTTCCAACTCCGACATTGTGCATGTGGAGAAAGAAGAGATTCCCGAGGGCGCGGCGGAGGTGGCCGGGGCCGCCGCCCTGCCAACCGGGGAGCCACCAGAGGCGCAGCCCGGAGCCCCCGCTCCCTTGGTTCCGCACGTCACTGCCACTTCTTTGCCGCAGACGAGGGCACCTGACCTGGAAGGGGTCTCGGTCAGGGGAGCCAGCCCTGCTGCGTCTCTGCTCCTGAAGCCTGGTGAAGAAGAGGTGCGAGCAGCAGCCGCGGAGCCTCGGGGGGCGGACGAGGGGGCGGCCCCTGTGAGCAAGGAGAGGCCCGGTGGGGAGGCACCCCCGGCCCGCGAGGTGCAGGCCTTCCCCGCGCCCGAGGGCAAGTCTATACTGCTGTTCGGAGGGGCCGCCGCTGTGGCCCTCCTGGCCGTGGCAGTCGGGGTCGCGCTGGCTCTGAGAAGGAAGTAGCGGCTTTTTCAGAGGAGAAGGCCGATGCAAAGGGTCTCAGGTTTTAGTTGTGTTGGCTGGATTTGAGCTGCCAGCAGCTGACGGGACATTTATGGAACGCTGAGAGAATTGGGGTGTCTGCGCAACGAGGCCGCGGCCTGAGCCACACGCAAGGGCCGGGTGGGTGGAGTGCGTTCGCTGTGGTCTGCCTGTCAGTTCCCAGGGCCTCGGCCCGGGCTGCGTTCCGAATCACGGCTGCAGTGCTCCCTCTGCAACAGGGTTCTTGGCAATTCCATGATGCGTTAGGCCATCCTGTGCTCCGGGGGTGTCCGCAGCAGCCTGGCCTCTGCCCACTAGATGCCGGTAGCACCCACTCCCCGGGAGGAAACCAAAAATGTCTCAGACATTGCCAAATGTCCCCTGTGGGCAGAATCATCCCCGTGGAGGTCCGCTGCTTTAGAGGGAGAGGGGTACTTTAGGAAAACCTGGTAGAGTCTCCCGCTTAGCTGGGGAGCTGCGTCCGCCCCCACGGGCAGCCCGTGTTCCGCAGCTGCCCCTCTTCCGCCCCCCCCCCACCCCATAGGGTGAGGGCGCTGCCCCCGCGTCGCACCACCTCAGGGTCTACGCCGCTGTTCTGCCCGGGGCCCGCTCTGGGCCGTGGGAGAGGGCGCGCCCGCCCCACGCCACCACACCCGATGAGCCCAAGGCTCCCTGCAGCCCCCCTTTGCAGAGAGGCTGCCTTTCGGAAGCTTGAGAAAAGCTGAGAACAGAAGAACGAGACCTAGGGTTCCCAGCCTGCAGGTTACTGGCGCAGAGGTATCTGTCTGTAGAGGCCAGAGGATGGCCTGAGCGACCTGCTGGGCCTCGAGCCCTTTCCGTCACGGTCACCCACTTGCCTACAGTGACTCGCCAGCAGCGCCGGGGGTCACACGCTGGGTGCAGCCCTGGGTTAGTATGTTTCTCCCAGTATCTGGCCTGCCCTAGGACTGGGCGCCCAGCTCTGGGGGTCTCTTACTACGTGGTGAGGATTGTCATCCTCGGACTTAGAGTGAATTGGGTCACAACTTACTGGCTATCATTGAAATAAAGTGAGATTTTATCAGTCCCAAATATCACTGAAATTTAAGGTGAGAATAAAAAGCTTGAGCTTCAAGTGTGAGGCTCCCGTGAGGTTCTAGTCTGGCCTTCACCGTACAGGGACGGAGGCCTCTTCCCCCGAACTCGGCACAGCCCAGATGCCAGGGCGGGAGGCCGGGGGGCCCAGGCCACCGTGCCAGTGGAGGCGCAGCGTGCGTTTCTGTCTCCCTGCCGATGCCATCCCTCCGCGAGGGCTGGAGCTGTGTCCTTTCATTCTGCGGCCACAGTGACTGCAGGGCCCGCAAGCCGGAGAAGTCATCTCAGATTTACCTTAGTTGATGTAACAAATTACTTTTTAGATCCTGAAATTTATAATAAAAATACTTTACCTACCCTGATCACCAAGACCTGATGTTTGAATGTGCTTTCTTTTTGAAATTTATTTTTTAAAATAAAATCTCCCTAAAGCAATACTTTTAAAAGCCATTTAAGAAGAAATGCAGGTGTGTATGTGTCTGTTAGAGCTCTGCCACCCACCCTGTCTTTCTGTTCTGAGCCTCGGTGTCCCGTTACCAAGTGATCAGTGACACTCGGTTCACCGGCACTTTTGTTTGCAAGTGGTTTGGTTTGCACACAAACGTTTGGCAAAATTTTGCTTTCTTTGCAAACTGCATCAGGGGACAAACAGAAGTGCAGGCACCGTTCCCACACAAGCACAAAGGTGGCGATCTTCTCCAAAGTCAGAGCAAGCGCGGCTCACCAGCGAAGGCGCCTGTGCCCGTGAGGCTGGGTGTATCTTGATTTAACTGGCTGGAGGGAGGGGAGAAAGGTGTGAGGGAAGTGTTTCTCCTCGTGGGCCCTGGTGGTTGCCTGGGTTCGTCCGTGTTGTAATTGGTACTTTGTGTTTGCATAGGTTAGGAGCAGAGAGACTGAGAGTTTCTGGATTTTCTTTGAAAATCTTTTCGTAATAAAATATTTTCTTTCCAGTGTTTCTCCGGGTCCTCACAACTATTGGCTGTGCACATTTAAGTGCTAACAGGAGCTTGGTTGTTTTTTGAGCCAAGAGGCAATAAAAATGTGGCTTAGGGTACTTCAGGTCTGTACTCCCCACCGAGGCGGGGTACGGGCATGTGCTGAGCTGGCCCTTGCCGTGGTGAGCTTTAACCTGAAGAACTCCGGCCGAGCGCGTTTTCTGGGTGGTGGAAGGTACTCTGCTCCTTTGACTTTGCTGGTATTTTGTCAGTATCCCTGTTTTTTCTCTACTACTTCTCTCTTCTGGCCGAAGGGCGAGTGGCCACGAGGGTTGCGGCTTAATGCGGCTCCTGGGTGTTGTTAATACATTAAAAATTTCTCAGGTCCCTCTCCTCTTCAAGGGCTTGTCCTAGGAGGCTGTTCTTTCTGGTACCCAAGTCTAGGTAAAGGAGAGATTCAGAATGCACCCAATTTAGAGAACGGGGCCGGGGATAGAGCTCAGCAGGCAAAAGCACCTGCCTGACAAGCACAAGGGCCTAAGTTCCTTTCCCGGTACCAAAAAGAAAAAAAGCTGAAAAATGTAGAGAATGCAGATGCCAGAATTAAAAAGTCACGCCGTTTATCACCCTTGTTCTCTCTGAGCTGCACAGGGAAGGTTTCCTCTGTAGAACTTTTTTTTCCCAGCTGGGGTCCTTAGAGCCTTGTGCATTGTAAGTACGTGCTCCACCACTGAGCTGCATCCTCAGCCCTCTGTAGAACTCCTCTTAACGGCTCTACTGCATGTTGTGATGTCTTTATTTCTGGGCATAAAGCTAGTGAGGCTTTCCTGAGAAAAATACAGGGGTTGAAGAATGTCAGTTTACCCTCCGTACTAAGTGGTTCTGAGCCCACGGGCCCGCGCCTTAGGAGGACTCGCGTGACCCTTACTGAGAACATCCCAGGTCGGGAAACACCACTGCTGACCTGGTTCGTGCGTCCCCCACCTCCAGGCAGCCCTGCTTCTGCTTGCTGCCGCTGTTGGTCTCACGCGAGCGCGGCCACGGTCCAGGGTTGCGGGGGTGAGCGGTGGCTGGGCGTTCTGAAGCACAGCTACTGCTGGTCTCCGCCTTCGTGCCGGCCGTCTGTAATACAGAAGCTATACCCGCTCCTGGCCTTTTGCCGTGAAGGTGTGATACGGACATTTCACTTTGGGATTAAGAGCCAGTTCATTAAAAATACTTCGTAGGTAGGAATTTTTCCCTTTCTCTTCATTTCTTTTCAGATCCTCCTGCCCAGAGCTTGGGATGTGACCACACTGTTCAGTGCATGAGCGGCAGGCAGTGCTTTGAATTTTTTGACTCCAGGTGTAGTTTTTTTAAATTTGTCTTGTTTTTGAGTGTCTCACTGTGTAGCCCAGGCTGGTCTCACAAACTCTGCGCAGGCCTGCCTCAGCCTCCGCGCAGGGATTACAGGCGGGCGCCACCACGCCTGGCTGTTGCTTTTTCCAGGCTCCTACGCTGTGACTGCAAAGCAACCTTGGCAGCCGTGCCAGTTGTTCACTGGCAAGGGCGGGCGCGGGCGGGGCAGGGCCCACACCGCACACGCCCGCGCTCGGCTCGCCCTTGCGTGTCTGAGGCACGGTGCCGGCCCGTCCACCTACCATCTTCCCCTGCGGAGAGAACGTGGCCAGGGCTGCCAGTGGCCCCGAACGGCTGTGCCCCTCCTGCTGAATGAGGCGCTCGCAGCCAGTGCCTTCACCAGCGCGCGGCTGCTGCGCGGCTTAGCTTGTAAACAGGACCTGTGACCCGCCACCGGCGATCAAGTGCCAGGCGAGGCGGGGAGAGCAGGGGCGCGCCCTCCGCTCTTCCGGTTCTCACCCGTCTCCTCCCCGCGGAAGCGCTCCGCCCGGCGGGGTGAGGGACACCGTCACGCTGCGAGGCCTCTCGCCGCTCGCTCGGGTCACCAACTCGGGACCGTCTTGCGCGGCGGACAGACGACTCGCGTGGAAGCCCTCCCGGCCTCGCGGAGCTGCGGTCAGCCGCGCCTCGGCTGTGTGCCCGCCCCACGGCGCGGCGGCGCCCTGCGGTCCTGTGTGCGGACGGCTCCGGATTGGAAACTCCCGCTGCTGAGCCGCGAGCACGGCCGTCTTGCCCTTCTCCGTGAGGACTGTTCGGGCTGCCGGCTCGCCCTGCTCCCTGCGCAGAGCCTCGGGGTCGCGCCCCTGTCCGTTCACACCCGAGGGCCCTCGCCGCAGTGCTCCCGCGGCGCTCAGGGAGGCGGCCCTCAGGGTTGGAAGCAGCGCGGGCTGGGTGGGTGCTGCCGCTCTGCCGCTCCGGGGAGACGTGTGGGACGCTGCTGCTCGCTGCAGGCTCTGTGGGGGAAGCTCCTGGCTTGGCGCGTCCCCCTCCAGGAAAGGGAGCCAAAGCCGTCTTCCCGCCGAGGGCCTTGACCGGGTCCACTTTTGAGGCGCCCTGTGCACCCAGGTCCTTGGCTAGCACCAAAAGGAAAGGGTTCTTCCTAGACCTGTATTTTTCCTATCAGAGTCTTCCACTCCTCCTTCGGAGTAAAAGTGCCTCTAACTCATTGCTTTTAAAAAATGTTTATATTAAATTTGCTTGCATTACGAACTTTATTGGTACAGTTCAGATCTGTACCACACTCGCCGCACGGTTCAGCGAGCGGCTGCCCCCCGCCCAGCTCAGGCTTCGCTAGGTGGCGCTGCTGTTCCGCCAGTTTGGGCAGCTAACGGGGACACTGGGCCGGAGCGGGTGTTCTCCGCGTGCCTGGGAGGCCGCACCGCCTCTGCTTGCCGCAGCTCTGCTTCGCTCGCTCATTACCGTGAATTACTCTGTCTGCTCCTTCCCTTGTCTGCCTTCTGGCCAGTCTCCTTTTCATGGGAGAAAGGAATGAACCTCAGGTCTGTGAACTGTGCTTTCTGCGTCGGGGAGCGGACACTGGGTGTGGAAGTAAAGTGGTGTGAACAGGACCCCGCTCATCCTTAGTCACGTGGCACTTTTGTGCTCAGTGTGAGATTACGCCAGGTAATCCTGCAGTCTGTGAACACAGGTGTGACTGAAAAATGTGTTTAAAAATTAATTACGGTAAAAGACACATTGCCATTAACCCCCTTCCAAAGACTCCCCCTTGCCTCAGCGGTACATCCCATGGTTCCTACCACTTCCCGCGGCAGTTCTGGAAGGCCTCTTTCATGTCTAATTGTGACGTCATGGCTGCCGCGGTATCTTTTTTTTGAGGCAAGGTCTTGCTGTGTAGTTCAGGTCAGTCCTGCACTCACTGTAGCCCACCCTCGCCTTGCACTCCCGACAATCCTCCTGCTTCAGCCTCCCAAATGCTGGGATTACAGGCAAGAGCCTGAACTGATTCAAATCTTCCACGGTCATGTAGACTTCGAGGACGAGCCCGAAGTCACACACGGCCAGATGTGGTGCAGAAGGTGATGAGGACACAGCATCGTTTCTACCTGGCAGCAGCATCCACCATATTTTTAACTGAACATTTTTTCATTTTTATTAGTACAGTGGCTTCGTCAGTGGAGCGTTAGTACATGTACACAACACCTCATTTTTATTGTATCTTTTAATCACATTTTTAAAGACACTCATGAAAAAGGATTTCCAGAACTGCTTTAGAAAGTGGCAAAAATGATGGGGTGTGTTTAAAGTGAGGGGGAGTATATTTTGAGGGGGATTAACGGCAATGTGTCTTTTAGCACAATAACTTTTACAAAAAATTTAAATATTCAGCAAGTTAAGTATTTCCGGCACACCTTGAACATACATACTCTTGCTCCAGGTTCTGAAACATGCTCATAACACGTGCAACCACACTCCAGAATCTACTTCCCAGGCAGCACAGAGGGAAATAGTTCCAGTCAGTTGCTGGGAAATGCAATCAGCGTGAGGTGCTGAGGGCCTTCAAGGGATCCTTGGACATCTCAGTAGCTTATGCTGGATCCTGAGAGGTGAGGCCAGGAAGGATCTGACCTGAATTCTCCTAATATCCTAGAAGGCGTAGATACATCAAGTATCTTTTGGAGGAGAAAGTTTTTAACAGAATTTCTATCATTTTGAAGGATTTCTATCATTTAAAACAATTCAAATATTTTTAAAAGAGCAAGAAACATTCTCCACATCAGAGTTACTCTCAGTTATGTTCATACAAAGGACTGTTACCTGGGCGAGGTCCGACACCTTCAGGCTACACCCAGGTCAGGACTGGAACACACTCAAGATCAGAATGTTTGTGTTCGACCCAGTGAAATCTCTTTATCATTATCATAGCCCAGGAGGAGGGATGATAATCTTGCTTTGCAACCCAGGAAGTATATCAAACCTGGCCTAGAAAAATTTACACCAAGGCCTCTTAAAACTGTATTAAAATATCTGCCTGTTGCATTCGCTTCAGTCAAAGGGCAGAAGGTGAAGTTTCTGTGAAGGATTAGAAGTATGGTAAGAGGCAGCCTGGGGTCATCTGTTTGAAATGGCTTTTCCACCAATTCAGATTTGACTGGCGTTTTCAAATTGCTCCTTTGCAAGGAACTACCTCCCGTGGTGAGACTCTGCCTGTAATGACTGGTACATGTATGAATGTTTGCTTTTAGCGTCTGTAACCTTCTGCCCGTGTCAGCCCTGTGTGTGGTGCATTTAATGCTGACCAAGGTGGAGCAGTTTGCCTCTCTGATGGAACTGTGGAGAACAGAAGCACGGTCGTAACAGGAAATTATCGTTAGTGCTTCGTTACTCCGGTTCACGAACCTCCCCAAAGCATCCTATTCACAATGACAAGGGCTTTACAGGTAAAGGGGACGCATGTGACATGCACCCAGCACCCTCGCCAAACCTACAGACCAATCCTGGGAGTGGCTTCCGGGGAGCCACAGGCCCTGCTGTAAGGTTTCTAAACAAAGCTTGGCCTTGGGTTATTCGCCTCCTGTGTCCCTAGGAGAGGGCGTCTCCCCGGTGCTGCCTGATCTCCTGATGCAGCTTCCAGGCACGCAGGGGCTGAGTGGGAAAACTGAAGATACAAGGCTTTAGTAGGACCAAGAGGGGCTGGGGAGTTAGCTCAGCGGCACAGCGCCTGCCTGGCAAGCGCAAGGTTGTGAGTTCAGCTCCCGGTACCAGAAAAAAAACAAACAAACAAAAAAAAACATAGGACTGAGAGACAAGCGCCTGGCACACCATCGGCTTACAGGTTCTTATCGAAGTTCTCATTTATTAGAAAGAAAGAAAGTATATTTAAGTACCTGACTTTGAAAACAGCCATTGACATGGACCTTTACATCACCAATCACGACTTGTAAATGCCCGTGGTCCTCTTTGCCTCAAGAGGAAGTCAAGCTGAAAAAGCTGCACACCCATACATCGAGGGTGGAGTTTCCCTGGTTTGAAAACAGCACCTTAGCCCAGAGCCCTGTGCCACCTGGCTTACACAGAAGAGCCGCTTACTTGGTATTTGGACGGTCTCTCTTTGGAGCAAAATTCCTCCCTTGTAAGGGGCATGTACGTTTTTCTCCAAGCCTTGCTCCCCTCCAACAGGATATTGCCTGCTGTTAAGACCGTGCCCCAAGGTTGCACTTAATAAACAGTAAGTTTTTTAACAACCAAAATGTAAGCGTGTTTCTTTTCTTCTGCCCTTCGGTTTCCTTTTCAATTTAATTCTTAAGTGGGACCCTGCACAGCGGAAGTAAGATGAAGGCACAGGTGCAGGAGTAGGAGACACGACACCTGTTAAATATCACCAAGTCTGCACTGTCTCATTCAAGTATGTCACTGTAGGCGTTTCTCGGTAAGCAACCAGCTTACATTCCTGGAGACAGGGGGAAAGGCGGAGTCCAGCGCCCGTCTTCTCTAAGGCGTCTGTTTTCAGGGCCATAGCATCTTCTCCTTTGCAGGTAGCTATGCTGGTGTCACCATGTCACGTTTTAGCCAGTTGTGCTTCAGCAAGCCGTCCGTTCAGTCCCTCTCCTAAGCAAAGGAAAATGAGAAAGAATGAGCCAGCGTGAGGCTGGGCTGGGTGCGAAACACGCTGTTCGGAGCGCTGCGGCCCACGTACCCCGCATCCTCCCTTCGGCTCCGCCGAGGCAACTGTGCAAACAGTTCCGCTGCTGGGTGCTCGCAATCGCCCAAGGTGCCCAGGGGCCCCTGGGAGGCCGGACCCGGCTAGCCCGCGAGAGCTGTCAGTACAACTGCTCTGGACGTCCTGCTCTCTTACTCCCCTGGAAATGGTGCTTGGTAGAAGCTGTGCAGGAATGTTCTCGGACTGACCTCCTTCCAACAGTTCAGCTTGGTTTCACCCCGACCTGAGACTTATATTCCCCTTCCTGTCTGCAGATGCCTGTATAACTGAAGGACAGTACAGGGGATACTTCTAAGGCCTACCAATAACTATTCAAAGGCGCAGGTGCTATTTTCTTTAAAAATTATGGCTGCCTGGGTAACTTCTAACTTAGAAAAAAATCTCATTCCCCGTACTGTAAAACTGGTAGGTAAGGTACACCCGCCTGCCTTTCCTTTGGGCCCATCGCGCTGAGGCACCGGGGACGTGGTGTCTCACCCTCCTTGGGCGGTGTCCTGAAGACTGAGACTCGGTACCCACAGGACCGAGGTGCTCCCTGCTATGGGCGACCTCAGATAAGCCCCTGCTCTTTTGATTACTCCTGTGGGCTCTACCCATGATTCTTAAGAACTCTTCTTCCCCAGTACCAGGCACTGAGCCCCAAAGCACTTCACTGCTGAACTACATCCGTCAGTACTTTTTTTATTTTTTGAGACAGAGTCACACTGAGTCACTAAGTTGCCCAGGGTGGGCTCAAACTTGTGATCTTCCTGCCTCCTCCAGTGTTAGGCTTACAGGTGCACATCACCACCCCTGGCAGTAAAGATGTTTTTAAATTACACTTGAATTACACTTTAAATTACACTTACGTTGTGATACATGAGGCTTTTTCTTTCTTTTCTTTTTGAGACAGGGTTTCACTATGCAATTTAGGCAGGCCTCGAACTCACAGTGACCCTCCTGCCTCAGCCTCCTGAGTGCTGGGATTATAGGTGTGCACCACCACACCCGGCTAGTGAGGATGTTTTTTTAAGAATTTAAATTACATTTGTGACATGGGAGGTTTTTGAGAGCTGCCCAAGGAAGCTCAGCCCAAGCCCCTCCAGCCACTTTCTGCCTTGTCATGAATGTACCACACGGCTGTGTCCTCGCAGCAGCCTTCCTTGTGGTCTGACGTCCGGGCGGAAGGCAGCGGAGAGCCCTGCTGGGTTTCCACACCGCAGAGGGAACGGTGTGGGCTGGAGGCAGAGGCCCAGGGACGTCATGAAATGGCAAGGAGCTGGCGTCACTGATACTTACATTTCTGATTAAGTCCCTCACATAGGGGAGCAGGTTCTGGTTAATAAAGTCCACCGCTGTGTGAAAGATGACACGGAGCAAGGACGGCTTGTAGTCAGCCACCTTTTTGGCCAGCAGCATGGTCAGGATCAGCGTGGCCTTCTCCTGCTCCAGGTCTGGAGGGCAGGTCTGCATCACCTCCCGCAGAGCGGCGGCCAGGCAGCGCCTCCTGCCCTGCGTGGGGAAGCACAGGCAGTTTACCACGGCGTCCTCTGGGGAGAAAGGCGCAGCGCAAGCGCGAAGCGGCGCGGCGGAGGGAAGCACTGAGTCCGCAGCGGCAGTGCTGGGTGGACAGCACGACGGACAGCTCCGTCCTGAGAGGCTGCGGGCAGAGAAGACCCCGCCCCGGAGGGGCCCCTCACTCACCAAATGCAGGAAGAGGCCTATGTCACCCCCGCCCCTCAGGCACCTACGGCACTGGCGGACCCCTGGGGTCTCGGGCCCGTCTTGGTGGCGGCACCTAGCCCAAAGGCGCCTGTTACCCCTGAGCAGGAGCGGCGGCCCCGAGCGCAGGGCCTGGAAGGACCTTCGGGCTCAGAGACGCGCGCAGAGCCAGCCCAGGAAGGCGCTGCTGGAAGGTCCCCACTGTGCTCCTCCGGGGAGGCTGCGGGCCAGCGCCGAGCGGGGGACAGCGTGGCTGCTCTCTGTACTGATCCATGAAGCCAGGGGGAGCGCAGGCTAGCTTGCCACGCTCCGGTCGCACGTGGGTGAGTGACTTCAGCTCTCCACCCCCGTCTCCGACTCCCCAGAGCAGAGGCCTAGTTGTTTCTGGGAGAGTCAGGCACACTTTGCTGGACTGTCGGGAGGCTCCGGACCCTGGCCCCTGACGCAGGTTTCCCGACTCAGCTAACGCACGCTCTCGTTCCCAGCCCTCCTGGCGAGCTCCAGGGGGAGTCAGGCAGGGGCCGCCTCCCAGGACACGGGTGTGCTGGGGAGACGGAGCACAGACTGCGCCGGCCCAGCGGACGGGTGGGAGAGTCCGCCCTTCCACGCGCCCCGAGTCGCACGGCGCGCCCTGCTCGGCACCGCGTCACCGACCTCCGCTGTCAGACTCCGGTCCCCAAGCTGCGCGATCAGCCGGTTCACTGCTCTGGCCTGGATCCTGCGGTCCATCTCATCCCCGGCGACCGCCAGACGCTGGGCAATCTGCTGAATTACTTCTTCTAGGCTTTCGGAATCTGAATGTTCAGACAGAGCAGCAGGAACCAAGAAGATTCAGAAAATGGCACTGCTCGACCCCCTTAGCCCCCCCCCCAGCCCACCGCAGGACCGGGCGTGACTTCCGCTCAGGAGCAAGACCAGCTCCGCAGCCGCAGCCTGCGCCGGCCGTGCTCTCCGCGCCTCAGGCTGGGGCCCAGGGAGCAGGGAGAGGCCTGCGTCCCCCCGTCACAGACTCGCCAGCTGCGCGAAGAGGGGCTGCGTCGCTGCCGCCTGGGAGTCCCGGGGCGCGTGGGGGGGGCCTGCAGCGCTGCCAAGTGTACGTGCCAGCGCCTGACAGGTGGCAGCTCCAAGCCTTTGGGAAGGAGGTGCTGCAGTCGCCGCCCGAGTCCCACCTGTCAGTCCCAGTGGAGTAGTGGCAGAGGGCACCCCGCCTTCCCCAGCACCCCGGGCCGTGCGCTCTGCCTCCACCTCGCTAACGGTGGCGCCTGCTGATGCTGGCTTCCTCCCCGCGCTGCCCTGCCTCTTCCTCTCCTCTGCCCCAGTCCTCTCTCATTCTTTTTTCCTGGACATTTGCTATATACTTTCCCCATTTCTGCTGTCTGACACCCCTGCCTAAATACGACCATCCTAAAAGCTTTAGTCTCTCGGGCTGACTGTCAAACACCCGGCACTTAATGCATGGAGCCAAGACACAGTGGCGCACTTATAATCCCAGATACTTGGGAGGCTGAGGCAGAAGGCTCACAAGTTTGAGGCCAGCCTGGGCAACTTTACGAGGCAGGAAGTGACTGCTTAGACTAGGGCTTAAGGGCCGCCTTAAATCCTCATCTGGTTCACTGCAGCTTTTATGTTTGTTTCGTTTTTGAGACAGGGTCTTGCTCTGTGGTTGAGGCTGGCCTTGAACTCACTATGGAGCCCAGGCTAGCCTTGAACTCACAGTGATCCTCCTGCCTCAGCCTCCCAAGCAGTGGGATTGCAGGTGTGTATCACCAGGCGTAGCAGCTCACTGGAGTTTTTGTGGGTTTTGGTTTTGGTTTTTGTAGCGCTGGAACCCAGGACTTTGACAGGCCAGGCAAGTGCTCTGGCACTGGGACACACAGCCAGATACTCCGGCACCTCTCTGCCCTGAACCTTTCCGAGGCTCACTTCTGCTTAAGTGCCAAGTTGAGCCCTGAGCTCCAAATCCCTCTGACTTAACTTCCTCAACTGCCACTGCTCATTCTCGCCACACTCCCCTAGGGGCCCACTGCCCCTTTCCCAGGCCCTGGCCTGTCCTCAGGTGTGCTGACATGGTGGCCACTCCCTTCCCGGAGAACAACACCGTGCCATCCTTCCAGGCCCAGCTCGACTTACTGATTCCCTACGGAGCAGCAAGCGGCCCTCCCCGCCACCTCCCTTGGTACCACACTGCGCCCCCATCTGCCACAGCCTTTCCACCCGGTCCAGGGACTCGCGTCCTCGTCCTCCCTTCCCTTCGGCCACCAGCTCAGGGACGTCGGTGTCGCATCTGATTCGTTTGCCCAGGCAGCCAGAGCTCCAGGGCTGGGCAGGTACTTATTCCACGTGCCAGATTCCTGCCCGAGGGCTGGGGCAGGGGGGTGACCCGTACAGCCCCGCAATCGCTTCCCAAATGCTACGTGGGGCAGGCCAGGCCAGCCTAGAGGCACAATCTGCCCTTGACAGAGACCAGTGTAGAGACGGCAGGAGCCAGCAGGCAGGGGCTCTGGCCAGTCACCGCTGCAGCGGCCGCTGACATCGAAGCCTCCTGCGCGCGCCTGCTCCGAGTCCTTTCCCAAAGGGGACGGGCGCTCCCATTCGGTCGAGGACCAGGGAAAGGATGCGCCGGCTGAACTGAAAGGCCCCGAGAGCCTGGCGCGGCCTGGTTAGCGGGGGTGCTGAGCACACCCTCGTTCACACAGGCCAAGGCGGGCCGGCTGTCGGTCCCCCCATGGCCAGCCGAGGGCAGTGCCGCCGCGGAGCACCGGGCGCAGGGGCCGCGGGCCTCGGCGCCGCCGTCTCTGGGTGTTCAGGGCGGAATCGCCCGGGGAGCCTTCCCCGGAAAACACGCCGCCGCAGCGCCCTACACGGAGTCCTCCCCGCCGGGGTCTGCGCTCTGCCCAAGCCGCTTCCCTGGGGCCGAACTGCCCAGCCGGGCGCCGCCCCTCGCTCCCCACCACGCGGACAGAGGGCGGGGCGGCGGCCTGCGAGAGCGCCGGCCCC